AACATTTGCATTTTTGTGTGTTTTTTTTTCAGTTGATTTCTTATGTCAACAGAACATACTTCAATTAAAAACCTCGTCTCATCCTCTCCCCGTGTGCTACCACGGCTCATTTTTTTCCTGCCACCTCTGTTTTTTCGGCTATGCTGGAAGCACCAGAACTTCTTATAAAAGGTCTGAAAGTCCGAACCATACGGAGATGCTTTCACACCAGAAACGAACCAAACCTTTGTTCAGTTTGATCCGGACCGAGACTACCTCTTTTCGTCGGACCAAATTTCATCTGTTTGGTGCGGACCGTGGTCTGGGGTTTCACACAAGTAATTTTGATTTGGACCAAACTGAAAAGTCTGAAAGACCGGACCAAACAAGGAAGGCGTGAATGGGCTGTAAATCGCTTCAGGAGGAGGATGGGGCCGGGTGTTACCCACCAGCCCAGTGCGCTTACACGTACTACTGTTTGACCTTTGACCAGGAGGATTTCTTCACCGTAAAGCACACACACACACAGAAACAGGAATGTAAAAAGCAACTAATGGCCAGGTCTGTTCACTCCAACCAAACCAACCAGACAGACAGAGATGAAGACAATGATTAAGAATCCCACTGGTCTCCCAGGTGGCTTCTGGGAACTGATGTCATAACATTCCATAGACCGCCTCAGAACAAGAGCTTCCGGTTTCTCCCCCCCCCACTGAGGTTTAACTCCACTCTCTATAGAAATCATTACTATACACACACACACACTGCTCTATATTCCTCTTCCATAAACACAGCACATATGCATCTATGAAGCCAACAACATGCCACATAAATCAATAGCTTCTATCTGAATTCTGCAATTACTTTTATCCTAGGAGAAATTGTTCCTGGAAAATATGGCCTTGGCTACCGAGATCGCTTCATGCTCAGTAGGCTACGGATACGACACTGAATTATGTCATGTTATTAGTCATGAGTTAGGCACTAAATCACAGTTAATTTGATCATAATGTCAGAGGAACATGAATAAGCTATGCTGTTTACAGCCAAGCGAAACTAGAGTCCTGCTGTGTGGACGGAGATATGGAGGCTGATGGACGGTGTGTTTCTGGCTGGTCCAGTGCAGTGCATTGTGGACTATATGTGAGGAAAGGAGGATGAGTGCTCAACACACAGCTGATGCCACCAGCATCCAGATATTAACATACTATAAAAACTCCTAGCACATGTAGGCTTATTTTGCAGACAAAAGAAATAAAAGAAAAGTTGAAAAATAATATAGGATGCATGGAATATATTCAATGAGAAACACGGCATATTGAATATTTATAATACTTTTGTTAATGTTGAAAGAAAATATGGATTGTAGAATTAAAACACTGTAAAAACATTATTTTTCAGAGGTAGTAAGTATAACCGACCGTTTTTATTTTATTATAACATGAGTTTTCAGTCAGTGACAGTGAGCTTCTGCTCAAGTGATATCTGCCTTATTGCTTGTAAACAATATAAAGGCAGTGCTCTTTGACAGCTTTCTGTATAATCCATTCATATTTTGAATGAATTTTAATGTTTCCCAGCTGAAAATTTGCAGCGCAACAGACCTGTCACCTGTTCTGTTACCCGTAATGCATTTCTTTGTTGTTTCATTATATTATTTTAATAACTTTTCATTAGACATTTTTAATGCAATGTTTATTTAACTGAAGAATATTTGAAAGCTACATAATGTGTTAATGGATTTTTACTTATTATCGTTAACAGCATTAAATGAACTCAGTTTAATTTACTTAATTTTCAAGTAAAAAAAATATTTCAAAATTGTTACAATTTGGTACAGAAATTGTTAAATTTGGCTAGTGTTGGTACCGACAAATGAAATTATGGTACCATGTCAACTTTACAATGATTATTGGAGTTTTACAAGAGAATAATATTTCAGTGCTTTTTACTTGAAAATGTCATATTTAATGTTTTACTTGTCATTTCTTTGTAATTAACTGAGAAATTTCGACTTTTTTGTTGTCGTTTAAAAGCAAAGGCTCTGTTAGTTCTTTTGACACATTCCAATATTCAATTTAATGAAAATAATCAAAAATGCTGGCAGTGACTAGAAAAAAAAAAAAGAAAGAAAAAAACTCGCTGGTGGGGACAGAGTTCATTAAATAAATAAAAACACAAATGCATGCATTATTTTGAGAATATTTAGATCAGAAATTAATGTTGCATTAATAAATATAACAGCATATTAATCATATAAATTAATTTAAATTCATAATGATTGTTTTTACAGTTTTGTTTAACAAAAAAGCTGCATTAATAATGTGTTAATCATTTAAATTAACTATTTAAATTCATCATGATTGTGTTTTTATTATTGAAATCGTATGATGATTAGTTTTTTAAAAGCTGAAATTACTATTATGTAAAAAAATCTACTCTTAAAACATTTAAAATCAAGTAATTTCTCTCTCTCTATATAAATCTTTATTAGTGATATAAAAAAAACAATTCAACATGAAACTTAAGCAAAAAGGGCCACAAAACAGACACACACACACATATTATTATAATTAATATAATTTAACTGTTTATAAATAATTTTAATTTATGATTTTATATATAAGTGTATGACTATATATATATATATATATATATATATATAAATCATACATAAAATTATATATAAATGGTTAAATTCTACATGCATGCTAAATTATTACTAAATTAGACATGCCTTCATCGAAAACGCCTGTATTAACATTATTTACTAACAAAACACATGTTATTTCCAAATTAAAAATCCAAATTTTAATTTATCCAAATTGTTTCTCATTGAATTATGTTTGACAACATGGGACTGAGAGTATATACACTCCTGTGGCTGTGACATTCGTGCAGCACTGGGCAACTACACTACTCAAACAGAGAACAGCATGTCCCTTATAAAAAAAAAAATTCTAGGAAAAAAAACCCCTATGAAACAGCAGTGAGAGCTCTCACATCAATCTAGAAAACATATGGATTCCTGAAGCTATACTATACGCAGCTGCTCTGCATATTGCTTTGGAATCCATAACAGTGGTAAGAAATATAAAGTGCTGTGATTTCTAGAAAACGTCATGACAGGGCGATCAAAGTCTGAAAGAATAACTCCCAACATGAAAAGGCCTTTTATTTAAAACCTTCAAACAGATGCATGGTCAGGAATTCTTGAAATGAAGAGGATCTTTTAAAAAAGAGATATGAACCCTTTGAGCAGATACATAAATGCAGATGATCAGTGTTTGAGGTGATACTCCCTATTGTGTACTTCAATATTGTTTGCTTTAATAAAGTAACTTATGATACAACAGCTTATCACTATCAAGTTAGAAATACACATTTTATGCTTAACACCCAACAACCCTAGATATACATTTTGAAACTATTTAGTTAAGAAAATAATTCTGCATGATAAATGTAGAATCATAAATTATTCATTTACACTTTAAAATAAGGTCTCATTTATAACATTAGTGTAATACCATGAACTAACAATGATCAATGCATTTGTTACAGCATCTCAGTTAACATTAATAAAAATACAGCTGATCATTGTTTGTTCATATGTTAACAAATACATTTAGTTTTCTTTTTATATATTTACTAATAAAACAATATTGTAACGTGTTACCAAATAATTGAAAATTGACATTGATCATTTTAAATAATTTTATTTAAATTTATTTATAAATAATATATATATATATATATATAATACAATTTTATTTTATTTAAATTTTATTTAAAATCACAATGAATTTGTTTTTATTATTTATTATCTAATTAAATATTTTAAAAAGCTAAAATTATACTAAAATAAATATACCATATAAACCAAAAGCTGATTTCAATTTAATTCATTTCTGCATATTAGAAACACTTACATTTTTAGTGGTAACATTTAATTGACTGATATAAATCTCAATTTTCTCTCTTCTTAATTCTAGCAATAATTTTAAACAATAAGCTCTACAAAACAGCACTTTATCTAATCAAATAGAAGTGTGGCAAGAGATTACAAGCAATATTATTAATTAAATTTAACAAATTCGAATTGAGTAATAATTAATCAAATTATTCCTTAAAAGTTAACCAATGATATGGTTTAAAATGAGTAAAGTTAACCAAAATAATTAACAAAAAATATCTAACAGACAGAATTCAAAGATTAATTAAGAACAATTTATTTTATATTGCCAACATTGAAGACAATTGATGTTAACAAGCAGAATCACTGAAGGAGAAAACCATCATTTTAAAACAAACAAACACCGATCACCATAATTGTGACTTAAATTTGTTTTTTTGGTGGTTGCAAGTTTTACTCATTTTAAAGAATTAATTTGATTAATTATTACTCAATTCTAATTTGTTAATAATATTGCTTGCAATCTGTTGCCACAATTTTTTTTTTTGATTAGATAAAGCATATTCATTTTTACAGTGAGGCTTGTCATCTAAAATTTCTTTATAGACCATTTTGCAAGATGTAAACAACACTGGTCCAGAAGCACTACCTGTTTCAGTTTTTTTAACACTACATAAAAGCTGGGATAAAATACAACCAACAGAACATATAAAACTGAATCAAAAAGATAAACAAACATTTTAAGATGTTTTCTTTACATGTGAATTAAAAAAAAACAGTTAAAAAATGAAACAGGAAGAGTTTCTGGACCAGTGTTGTTTACATCTTGCAAAATGGTCTATAGGTTGCATTACCCCCATATTAGTGGTCAACCAATATGGCTTCTTCAAAGGTTCACTTTAAATTATTCCATATGATCCCAAGATCTCGAATAAATCATTGACCGCCAAGTTCTTTATCTATGACGGCAATTTTAGTAGATCTTACTGTTAACATCAAAAGAACCAAAACGGCAGATTCATTTATCCATAGCACTTATACAGTGAATGCGTGGAAACATCAGAGATCTTTAACCACTATTCAAATTAATGGCAACGTGCAAACTCACCGCGTTCTCATGTTGCTGGCAGAACTCCACCCTCTCCTGGAACACATTCAGCATGGAGAAGCTGTTATGGAAGGACTGGGAGATGTTCACGGGGGTGTTGGAGTTGATGGTGCGGTTGACCAGGTGTAAGCTCTCCATCAGCCCCTCGATGAAGTGGTCTTTGGTGAGTCGGACCCTCTGGTGGGCCCGCACGCAGTTATCGCACAGGTACTCCTGGCAATCCAGGCAGTGAGAGGTAGCGGGGTTCCCCTCATCACAAGAGCTGCACTGAGGGTCCGAGAGGTGCTGGGGTCTCAGAAGACCACCGTGATGGACCACCGATGAAGACCGCCCGTTCTTGCCCTGTTCCTCAGCAGAGACCACCACATCCAGAAGGTTGCTGAACAGAAAGGTGGAGGAGGGCAGCGAGTCCACGCCTGATTCCGACAAAGACACTTTTTGGTCGCATGTGGGGCATCTTAGCTTCAGGGGGTCACCGGGGCTCCGGTGGCCCTCCAGGCATTGCCTGCAGAAGGCGTGCAGACAGGGCAGGACGTGCAGTCTCCTGGTGGATGAGGTAGATGAGTTGGAGGTCTGTGAGGAAGAGGAGGAGGTAGATGAATTGGAGGAGATCGGAGCAGAGCAGCCGCACAGCTCCTTGCACAGCGGACATGTTTGCAGGTCGGAGTCTGGGAAAGACGCCATTTGTGCAGAGGACCACAGAATAACTTCACACATAAAGACGCGTTAAGACACACGAAGTCTGCCGAAATGGTTCCCTGATCGAATTCAAAGCAAGTAATGAAGTCATAGAGTCATAGCGTCCATGCTCCACCGTGAGCTACATTCACCGACACTTGATATACCTATGCATTCCCGTTTGATACATCTAGATAGAATTGGGCGCACTGGTTTTGCTGCCGCTCGCAGAACAAACTCTATACGCAACTTCTCGAGTGCACTTTAACCATTTGGAAAGCAAGTGTCATTCCGAGGCCTTATAATCCCTCGTTGTGGGGCATTAACATAGTTGCGAAACATGAAATCCGCTGCGAGGTCCCTGCTCCGATCCTCCCCCACCGCCGCATGACGAGGGGCCAAACGCGCTCGATACACTGTCAGTTTTCCTCTTTGCAAACGCAAATATGTCCGTTTTCCATGAACGCGCTTTTAGTCTACCATCTGCGCGTCATTATTCTCGATTCGCGCTTGCGCGAGCCGCAATTAAATAATTCAAAGTATGTCCCATGTAGCTCGTTCGCAAGGAGCGCCCCTCAAAATCCTGTTACTGTGATGAGGCTGAAGGTGAAAAAGCCCCTTGAACTTCTCCGAGTCCGCTAACAGTAACAGTTTGGCGAGGGGAATCAACCTTTGGTTTCCACTCGTTCCCGAGGTTTCAAATGCAAATGTCCATATTCGTCTCGCGTTTGCAGCGCAAAACAAACGCTCTCCCCCCGCGTGCCACTTCAATCCGCATTCATTTTCTTTGGAAATGACGCTCGCGTGTACGACAATTCTACAGCTCGTGACCATCAAGAGAACGCGTCCATACTAAAAAAGCACAGCGCGCACTTCCGCCTGAGAACACTTTAGAGGGGCGGGGTTTGTGTTGCGAGGGGGCGGGGCTAGGCATAGTAGCCTAGGGCTACATATTCAATGACCAAACCATTTTTTTTAATGGGCAGCAGAATACCTGGTGCTCAAAGAGACTAATTATAAGATCTTATTTAGGATTTATCCTGTAGTGTAGTTTTGTTTGTTGTTGTTTTTATAGAAGAGATTTCGTTTTTTTTTACATTCGTTGTCTTTTGCTCCAGTTTTATGTGTCTGCGCATGCGGAAAAACGCAGACCCTCATTCAGTTAATTTATTTGTATTAAATTACATATTTTGAAGAAACAACAGAAAGACCAAAGCTTATGGTTTTGCGTGTTAAAATATTCAATTCAACTTAATTCAATTCACATTTAGCTATTTATATAGCCCTTTTTACAATACAGATTTAATTAAATTGATATCTATTGTACTCTATTGCAGCCTTGTTTTTCCGCCCATATTATGTTCTTTTTGCCATTAAAAATGTGTTTGACAGACGGTAATTTCAGCTATGTTATATTTTCATTTTAATTTAGGTAAATTTGATATAGGCTTCTATAATAACTAAAACTGATATAAAAATCAAAACAGTCTTTACACACATATTATTAAAAAGACAACTACTAAAAATGACAATTAAGTAAATTACTAAATAGTAAATAAAGGCTATGTTATTTCATTTTAATATTTTCCATATTTCGATTGTTTTTAATAATATTACTGGCATATGCTTTTATATATATATATTAATTCATATTAATCTTCTTTTTTCGTTTAAATAAAACAATTAATGATTTTTCCACTCCACTTTGGAGGGAAAATCAATGATATTGACCATAATAGTTTTATTTTTGTCATATTTCAATTGTTTTTTTAGCAATATCACTAGCATAGCCTATACTTTTTACATTTATTATTATTATCATATTATCTTCTCTTTTTGTTTACATAAAACAATGATTTGTGATTTGATTGTGACAATGACATGGAGCGTAATGTTATTTAAAAGGTACACAGTTCTGTTTCGGTGTTGGCGAAGGGCCGATTGAGCATTATTGATATGGCCGTGGGGTTACATAGGACAAAAAAGGTTGGTAAACACCTTCTAGGACATGAAGATCCCTTTGTTCTCTTATTCTTTCTCATTAAGCCTACCATCTCTCAACAGTATGCTAATTTCCCACCCACACCTGAACCTATGAAATCAATCTCAACCTTTTTGTAATCGATGCTATACGCCTCCTGAGGGCCCCTCCTGTAATAGATAGCTACCACATGTAGGACTGGCTTTTGTGCGCATTTATGGGCACTTAGGACGGGGTGCTGCATGGCTCTTGTGACAAGGGAGGAAGCTTCTCGGTGGGGCTTAGGCTCCAGATGCTGGCTACCCAATAAAGCAGTGGGATGCCAGGCTGAAAGACAGGGCTTTGGGAGGGACCTTTTGACCCCATTATTATGGCTGGGATTAGGGGTAGTGGAGGCTGCCCACACTCAGCTGCAGCGCTCTGGCCATCCCAAGGACATTCCATTGATCTACATGAGGAACACGGGGGGTTGGGTGAGGGCAGAGGCTCAGCAAAACCAAGCAAAGCAAGGAAAGGGTCATGTCACATGGTGGAAATGACCACAGGCAATGTGGCCTGAGGTTATGTGTACGTGCGAGGGTGGATCTGTGTAATGAAGCGCTGATCCCCTCTCAAGACCAGGAAGTAGCTATTAACCCTTTGATACTCATTTCTAAATTATGAACATTATTAAAACTTTGCTGTTGTACACAATCTGCGTCATGCCTTCTTTTTCTCAATTAGTCACTGTTAAAAAAAAAAAGATTAATAAGTCATGGCAACGCGTGTTTTTACATTAATTTAACTCATCAAAATAATTAAAGCAATTCATAATTTAAGTTCATTTGAAATGACTTATACAACCAAGTTGAGTACATAAAAAGTAAAAGAGTTTTGATCATTAAAGTATTTAAATGTAATCTTGCTAAGACTTATTAAAGGGAGATAAAGAGTGACATATGATATTTATATGCACATATGCTATATGAGCCCAGCACCCTTTTACATTAAAAGCTATCAGAATGTCTTACTTCATACTTTTTTTTTTTGCTCATATAAATATCAGAAACTGCATATTGCATATTTTTATTCCATTTGGGAGTTTTTTTGTTCCATATTCTCCTATATTGGCCATAAAAGCCTGATGTATCAAATATGATACTATGAATGTTGAATGTAGCACATGTACAGTATGGATCATAGATCTTGGATCAAGGATCATAAACTTGTTTCAAATTTACACAGTTATTGACCCGAACTGAATGAACACTATTAACTTGATTCAGCTGCTTTACAGCAGAATTTGAATTGCTTTGAAACATAATAAAGCGCTATAAAATAAAGGTGACTTCACTTGCCTTAAAGGTTTCATTTGAAAGAATTTATCTGACAATTAATTCATGTATCAACATGTTATGGATTGTTTTATTAAAGTCCAAATCATCTTATGGGGTCAGAAGTGAATGTTCATTCGTGACTGTATTGTGACGTATAGCCCAATGTAACAATCTTTATGTGATTGTCCATTTTTGATTGGCTTAATATGTGCTTACACCTCAACAATGCAATTGATAGATTCGTTATCAGCAGGGGTTTCCTGCAGGCCCGTCTTAATCACGGGATTACATTTATATCCACTTACCTAACAAAGAGTCCTGTCCTGTCGTACCGGATCGGATCACTGTTGTCCTGACTAATTGATAATTAGCGTGTGAAAGTCTCCAAGGTAGCTTTCACTATTGCTTTGAAACGTGTATATTTAATTCACACGACTCATCTGCCATATTTATGACCTTTGGGGGCAAAGTATTGGTACTGAATACAAAAAAAACATGAAGTGTTCAAATTTTGAAATTAAGATGTTTCTGAAAATCTCATACTCAGGCTGTATTTATTTGATCAAAAGTAATATTGAGAAATATTATTAAAATTGTAAAGAACTTATATATATATATATATATATATATATATATATATATAAAATTTACTCCTGTGATGATAAAGCTACATATATATATATTAGGGCATCCAAAATAAAAGTTTCTGTTTACATAATATATGGGGGTGCACTGTGTATAATTATTTTATATATATATAAATACACACACTTGTATTATATTTAAGAAATCTTTTCATGTATATACTGTATATAGATTTATATATAATTAATATTATATATAAATATAAATATTTTATATATAAATAATATTTTATTCTTAAATATACATGCATGTGTGTTTATATATATATATATATATATATATATATATACAAAATAATTATATATATATATATATATATATATATATATGAAGAGTTCAGATGCAAAAGCCTCTAAATGCCATTTGAAATTTTCTTCTTTAATGATGATTTTTATCAAACTTGTATATTTAAGTTCAGTAATTTCACTTAAATAACAATTAATAGGTAATTATCATTGCCATTTAAGTGAAATCACTGAACTTAAATATACAAGCTTGATAAAAATGAGCAGTCAGAAGAAAATTTCAAATGGCACTTATAGGCTTTTGCATCTGAACTCTTCATATATATATATATATATATATATATATTAGAATGATTTCTGAAGGATCATGTGACACTGGAGACATAATGCTGAAAATTCATCACAATTGCCATCACAGAAAGGCAATCTGTGACATCACTGATCTATCACTGTGTGCAGAATTATTAGGCAAGTGAGTATTTTGACCATATCATCATTTTTATGCATTTTTCCAAGCTGTATAAACTTGAATGCTTATTGGATTTAAGCATTTCAGGTGATGTGTTTTGTGTAATTAGGGAGGGTGTGGCCTCAGGAGATCAACACCATATCAAAGTGTGCATCATTATTAGGCTTCTTTTCTTCAGGCAAAATGGACCAAAAAAGTCAAAATTGTTAAAATGTCTTTCAGAGGGATGCAGCACTCTTGAAATTGCAAAGATATTGGGGCGTGATCACAGAACCATCAAACGTTTTGTAGAAAATACTCGCAAGAAACGTGTTGAGAAAAAGCAAAACGCAAATTACTGTAACTGCCAAAGATTTGAGAAGAATCAAACCTGAAGCTACCAGGAACCAATTATCCTCCAAAACCTCACTTTTACTTTCTTAAATATTCAGGATTGAGGTTTATTAACATTTTGGATTGACTGAGTAATACAACTTGCCTAATAATTTTGCACAGTGTGTCTGTCTATCTATCAGTCTATAATATGTAATTGGTTGTTTGTTTGCAGCCCCAACACCAACGGTTGATTAGTAGATATTCAAGTATTTTCAAATAGTTTCATTCTTAATGATAATTACAGACTTCAGGCAGTTTTTGATGAATAATGTCTTAAATGGGAACAAAAACAGAAAATCCTCCCTGCCCACAGGGAAGCAAATACCTCTGGCTGGACTGTGATCTGCTTGCTGATAACCTCGGTCTCAATCCTCCATGTGTAAATCTGTCTGAAAGCAGACAGTACAGCGACGCAGACCATGAACATGTGATGATTCACATTCAGTCATGCAGGGATGAGATCATTCTCTGAAATGTGCGGGTGCCTGCAAATTCAGCTTTGAGACGCTTTAAATAACATCTGCACTAACAGTTAAAGGTTTGGAGTAATGGACATTTATTACTATTTTGAAAGAAGTCTCTTATGCTTACCAAGGCTGTATTTATTTGATGGAAAAAGTAAAAAAAAAAAAAAAAAAAAAAGAAAGAAAGAAAGAAAAAGCAACAATGTTACACATCATTACACTTTAAAATAACTTTTTATATATATCATTTATTTCTCTGATGGCAAATATGAACAGTCTTCAGTGTCACATGACATGATCCTTCAGAAAACTTTCTAACATGCTATCAATGTTGTCAAGCATTTTTGTGGAAACTCATGCGCCAAACGTTTGGGGTCAGTATGAAAATAATATGAATGGAAACTGGAAAATCCTAACAAAAGTGTTGTATTGTGTTATTCACAAAAACATTAAGCAGAAAGGTTGTTTAAAACATTAATATGAATACAAATGTGATAAAATAATATTAGTATTATACACATTCATATTGACACAACTGGGAAATTCATGGACTGTCACAATAAAATATGTAGCTACGTAACAATAGTAACCATGAACACTGCAACTATTGTTTGAACTTTGTGGTTACACAGTTGGATATTTATTATATATGTCACATTATAAAGATTTAAAATGCAATAGCAGCAAACGATATAGATACACTGTACACTACATCTCAAAACAGACAGTATTACAGCATTTACGATTGATAATGTACAGACTCTACATCTGAAGAGAACACTTTTCCATTTCTGAATACTGTGAATATAGACACTCAGCATTTCGAAAAACCAATCATTTTCTCGAACACTTTAATAGAATTTTGACTCTGCATTTTAGATTGTGGCAGCATTACATATAAGTGAACATTCAGGTTTGGAAATGATAAAGATTTGAGCAGTCATTCATTTGCATCAATCCAGCACCACCAGAATCAGCCAAAATGTGTGTCTGTGTGTATATATATATATATATATATTCAAAAAACAATTTTTATAACATATTGAGACATGTTTGTGACCCTGTTTTTTCTAAGCGTTATGCTCGTGACTAATGTATATGGTTGGCAGTGAAAATGATCAATAATCAACTTTCTGTTCTAACATCACATTACCTGGCTGAAAAGCACAACACCATGTGCATGTATTTAGGAACCAAAGTGCATTTATAATTATGCCAACCCAATAGGCCGTTTCCAAAATCTCAAAATCTTATAGTGACTACATGAGTAATAATGTCTGAAATAAAGTTCTTCAGCCTTTCCAGTCCCATGGTATACAGAGATCCCCATCCTGCATGACCGAATAGAAGTGAGAGACGCAGAGATGAAGGCCCTGCATCTGAGGGGATCTCTCTTCCATCAGACGCCTGCAGCAGGGGATCATCTGACTGCTCGACACGCTGGGCTCTTTAGACAGACTCCGCAGAGACAGATCCTGCAGACAACTCCAAATGAGGTCTTCTTCCTCTGCCTCCAACCTGCATACATGGAATATTTGACATTTCAATCAAAGACGCTTATTTAAACGGTGGCTACATTACAAAAATAAGTAACGTTTGATATTACACTGTCCCCGTTCCTTTTTTAACATGCCTTTCCCATAGTAATAACAGTGTATTATGCATTACTGCAAGTAAACAAACCGTATCCTAAACCTATAGTAAGTACAAGTTGTTATTACTCAGTACATAACTGTATAATTACTCTGTAACAGGGACCCCTTAAAGGGATAGTTCACTTTGAAATAAATTTTTCATATGTTTTAGCTTACCTCAAGGGCATCCAAGATGTAGGTGTCTTTGTTTCCACAGTATTTTCAATTTTGATATTTTTAGGTCAAACCGTTCTTGTCTGTCAGTCATATAATGGGGGTATATGGGGTCCACCTCAAAGAGCATGCACAGAGAAGTCAAAATTAAACATGATTTAATGACGAGTCGTGAATGTAAGTACACATTGATGGCCTAAGACATGAAACGGGCGGTTTGTGTGAGAAAACGAATAGTTTTTACATTGTTTTTACCTCTTGTAATCACAGCCACGTCCAATTGATCTGAGGGCGCGGGCGCTTCGGTCTGCGCAAGCGTCGGAAAGCACCAGAAATGATCTAAATGTGGTTGTGAAAAAAAATTCTGTTGATATATCGATAATCGTCTTCCTTTGTGATTTAATTTATATCACTTTAATTTTAATTTATAACACTTCTGAAATCTCTGTGTAAATAATGAGAGACGTACATGCACTAGAGATCAGTACAGGGCGCAGACAGAAGCGCCCGCGCCCTCAGATCACTTGGACGTGGCTGTGATTACAAGAGGTAAAAACGACATAAATAGAAATACAGTTCGTTTTCTCACACAAACCCCTCGTTTCGTGTCTTAGGCCATCAATGTGTACTTACATTTCTGAATCATTAAATCATGTTTAATTTGGACTTCTTTGTGCATGCTCTTTGAGGTGGTGACCATAGACCTCCATTATATGACTGACAGACAAGAACGGTTTGACCTAAAAATATCAAAATTGAAAATACTGTGGAAACAAAGACACCTACATCTTGGATGCCCTTGAGGTCAGCTAAAACATATCAAAAATTCATTTCAAAGTGAACTATCTATTTAAAATAAAGGGTTACTTTATGGCAACACTTTATTCGTGTCCATGTTACATATTCTTACCATAGTAATAACAGTAAATTATGTATAATTACATGCAACTAACTCTAAACCAAATCCTAATCCCTAGAAGTCATGTAAGTACATGCTGTTAATTACTATTACTAAGTACTTATAATAATTACATAAAAAATAATGATATATTTAAGTACCGAGTAACAGTGTTGAGGGTAATGCATTACAAGTAACGCGAGATACTTTAAATTTACAACAAAATTTTTCAAACAAGTAAGGCAAGTTGGTTTTATTGACTGACACCTCTGTTGTCCCCATGCCGAGAGAAACTGGGAGTAAGTACAGTGCGCTGTTTAAACATGATGGTTACTGTAGACTACATTTAAGCAGGCATTTGCTGATCTCACTTGCACAAAAACATATTCAGTATTCCTCAAAATGAATAAAAACAGTGACATGCACACTCGGAATATTACCCAAACCAGCAATCATTAAATGTTAAATTACACAAATACACTAATTTTGCATTTCCTTCAATTTTTTGTGTGGGGTGGCCTTTACATTTCAGTCCCTCCAGAAAAACGCGATTATGCGATCGCTGAATTCAATGCAAAATCAGCCAAAGTCCGCATATTTATGCGGGGGCCGCATTTTTTCAAATACGCCGCACTTTCGCCGCATAAATTGCCGATTTCCATGCAAAAAAAGTCACATGTATCTTAGCAGAAAGTTGAAAAATGTTTTGTTTGCTTCACACAAGAGCAGCCATTTCCCCCTGTTTCCATGGGAACGTTATGAAGTGACGCAATTACGTGACGCCAGACAGACTCACGGAGGCGATTGACATCTCACAAATCGAACTCGTATAACTGTCTGTCAAACGTTCTACCGTCACATCGTTACTTAATAAACAACATAAGATAAAAGAAGTAGCATCAAACAGAAATTACCCGCACACATGGGGTGTTCGAGGCGCACATATAACACTGCAGAGAGTTCAACAGGGAGCGCGCAGCTCTTAAAGGGGCCACACCTTATTTACGCTCGTTACAGTCTGAAATAAAACAACATGAGAAATTATATTCCCAGCACTTTCTATGATGTAGTATGCTTGCTTATCAAAGGAAGTAATAAGAAATGACTCTTACATTAAGTGAGAACTAGTGAGAACAGGATGTTGGGGGAATCACTTTTCTCTTTTTCATCAAACCGCAATTTTTGCAAGTTCCCTCAATTTTTGCAAATTCCTGCAATTTCATCGCATAAAATTGCATAAATATCCCGCATATTCCATCGCATTTTTAAAGAAAATGGGCTGCGCAATCAATCAATTTTTGCCCGCAACAATCACAAAAAAACTCAGCGTTTTTCTGGAAGGACTGAATACTATTATGGTAAATGTTATATATAAATCGCAATTTTTTTCACAAATTTTTGGAAATTACCACCACAAAATCAGTCAATTTGATCGCAAAAATCTAAAAAAAAAAAAAATCGTGAAATCCTGGAGGGACTGACATTTGCTAAAAATAGAACCAGCCCAGATAAGAAAAAGTAAGACAAAATGAACGTAATGCATTACTTTAAGTAACCAAGCAGCTAAACTACTTTTAAAAGTCACTTTCCCCAACACAGCTGAGTAATATTAATTAACAACATATTCGGCCCCACTTTATATTAGTTTTTAACTACGTACTAAGATTTAAATTAATAATTTGGTACAATGCACTTACTATGTACAAAAGTGTTTTTGCATAATACTTATATTTAAAAAAAGAACTGCATGTTATTTACAGCTGTAATTCATTTCTGTGATTAAATCTAAAATAGGATCCTTACTATTCTTACTGTAGGGTTAGGATTAGGCTTTGGTTTAGGATTAGTTGCACGTAATCATGCATAATTGACTGGTATTACTACATAATAATCATAAATGCGAACACAAAAACTAAAATAAAATGAATATTTTAAGTTCTATGGAGACTGGAGAGCCAACCCTTCCTCATCCGATTTGCGCCGTGTAATTAACAGAATTACAAAAAATGTATTTTGCCTCCTATTTTTTTTGTCACGCATGAATGTGTGTCTTTTCCCTAATATTAAAAATAAAACATAGACTGATATTTGTCTAATGTCTGGAGTCCTTTAAGGAAGTAGCCTATATAAGTTTCAATACATGTATTTTCGGAGAATTTTTATTTCAAGTTTTGACTGCAAATGTCATGTCCATAATGCTGGACTTCAATTTTAAATAATTTATCCTCAACTAGTTTTGTGGTGTAGGTCTACGTATTTTATAATGTTAACTTCAAATAATACTAAAGATAAGGCAGCATTGGATCTGGACGGTAAGGAGAATAACGCTGGAGTCGGAAGAGGTTTGTCGCGATTCTGTAGGTTCGTGGATCTGAGTCGTGTGGCAAATCGCAATTTCGGTTTCATATTGCATATTGTTACCGCCCCAAAGTTAAGTTCTACTTAGTTATTTTGGTGAAAGTAACTCAAAAGTAATACATGAGTAATGTAACGCATTACAATTCTGGGACAGTAATATTGTAAGGTAATTAATTACTTTTAAATAACAGTAACAAGTAATACCTAATGTATTACAGTTTGGAAGTAACTTGCACAACACTGCTCATAAATCGCACTAAAAAATTTTAGCTAGGAGTTTTCTCTTAAAAGTTATTCACAACGCCTTTCAGACCTACTCTTAGTAAGGAAAAATGACAACTCTTAAACTAAGAGTGATGCTGCGTCCCAATTCGCATACTATCCGTCCTAAATAGTATTCGAAAATAGAATTAGTACGTCCCAAATCGTAGTATGTTGAAATGAGTGTTTCAAAGATACCCGGATGGTCTACTTTTCCCGGTCAGAATCCGAAGTGTAGATCGATGCACACTCTAACGGCTGATATTGCCCACAAACCATTGCGCGTTGGACGAGGATTCAGTTAGAACTACAAACACGAGTAAAAAGTGTTAAAAAACTACAGACACGTAGTCGATACAGAGGACGCACGAGTCCCCGTGGTTGTGTAGAGAGGTTTAACTTAGATAAAGAGCTGTGATTGATTAATTATCAGTATCTAACCTGACGAAAATGAATTTATTCAATGTTGTCCACATTATATTGCATTTGCAGCAGCATTGTGAACTTTTGTAAAGACACGTTTAGCCATTACGTTTTAAAAGCATCATTATATTCAAATTGCAAACACGAGGAGAGCATGAAAGACCCACAACTGGCAGATGAACGTGCTCTCTGAAACGGTAGGAAATAAAATTAGATAGAATGGAGGATTTTAACTGTGACAAGATGATTGACAGGGCAGTTTACGGTGACAGGATGCACGCAGCACGCGACAGAGCTGTCCGTTAAAGATGACGTGATAGTATGTCCCAAAGCTTGCCTACTCTTTTGCTACACACTCAAAAGTATGTACCTTTTCCTCACAAAAAGAGTACATACTTTTAGGGCGTAGTATAAGTAAGCGAATTGGGACGCAGCATGAGTCTTCGTTGCTACAGGTGAGCTCAATTCTCATGCACGAGCTTCCTTAATTTACTGATGATTCATGCACACTTAAGGGATAGTTCACAGAAAAATCAAAATTCGGTCATCCTTTACTCACCCTCAAATTGTTCCAAACCTGTATGAATTTATTTATTCTGTTGAACACAAAAGAAGATATTTTGAAGAATATGGGTAACCAAACACTTGATGCACCCCATTGACTTCCATAGTACGGAAGAAGCAAAAAGAAAAGTACCATGGAGGTCAATGGGACCAACTTGAGGGGGAGTAAATGATGACAGAATTTTCATTTTTGGGTGAACGATCCCTTTAATACCATCAACATGGTAAATGGTCAATTTTGATGTCATGTTAATGAGCACTGATAGGTCAAGCACTCACTTGTCTTTCCGTTGCATGCGTCTCCGGGCCTCCTGGGCCTGGCTCTGGAGGAAGTTCTGCAGCTGGAGGGTGTCACACATAGTGGGGATGATGAAGTGGCCCATCTCATGCAGGCAGGGGGTGGAGCGGTCCCTATGGCAACAGAACAGAAGAGTAAAAACAATGATTGACAGGACATTAAGCAGCACAAAGCCTTCTCAGTGAACAGTGAGGATGTATCAGTCAGAAACACGACAGAATTGAATAGAACAGAGGGAGTCGCAGGAATTAAGATGATGCCATTCATCTACAATCTGTTGCTAACAGTCCAGTATGGTCTCTCTTCTGTTTCATTTTTATGTTTATCTTGTCCTTTCAGTGGAATAGTATTCTGAACAATAAATATTTCCCATAGCAATACATTTAAAGCTACAATTCATTTCTTGTAATGTTATTTGCTGCACCAAATGAAATTGAGACTAAAGGCCTTTTCACATCAATAATTATTACTACAATGATAACTATGCAAGCGGACACACAAACTGACAATATGTTCTGTTAACTCTAAGCACATACATACTGTAATTATTTTAGCAGTTATTAAAAGTTGGGTGGTTTCTGATTGGCGGATGGCACTAGAAGAAAATAGCTAATTAAATAAATAACCAGGAGGACACAAATAAAACATCAAATATAATATCATATCAATTTATGCCAGATCAAACAGCTACTTTAAAGCCTGTCAATCGAGAATTGGCTTTTTGTCCACAAAATGTTCGAGTAGTTCGATTTTACCCGTACAGATTTCTTTGGACTCTCCTCGGCTAAGACAATATATATATATATATATATATTATATATATATCTTATGTTTATATGTATTTTTATTATAATATGCCACCATTCAAGGGTTGTTTGTGCTTGCTTGTTTAAAAAAAATAAAAAATAAATGAATACTTTTATTCAGCAAGAATTCATTTAATTGAGATGAGAGTAAAGCCATGTTAGAACAGATTTCCATTTTAACACTGTTACTAAACAAATCTGTTTTAAGTAACTGGTGTTCTCTTGAGCTTTATATTAATCAAAGAATAATGAAAAAATGTATCACAGTTTCTCCAAAAATTAAGCAGTACAACTGTTTTCAACATAAAAATAAGAAGAAATGTGCTTTTGAGCAACAAATTCTGGAGTAATGGTAGACTTTAGCTTTACCATCACAGGGATAAATTAGTTTTAAAGAGTTTTAAAATGTAGTAATATCGTACTATATATATATATATATATATACAGTATATATATATATATATATATATATGAAGAGTTCAGATGCAAAAGCCTCTAAATGCCATTTGAAATTTTCTTCTAAAACGACCATTTTTATCAATCTTGTATATTTAAGTTCAGTAATTTCACTTAAATTACAATTAATAGGTAATCTTCATTGCCATTTAAGTCAAATTACTGAACTTAAATATTTATTTATTTATTTAACAGGGACCATACAGTCAAACATAGTCACAATACAGAGCCTGTAACTGATGCGCAGCATATAGAGTTTATAGCTAATGCTAATTTACAACTCCTGTCCCTGGTTGGGCATTTCTAAATACATTATAAAAAAAAAAAAATTACATACAAATATAAAACAATCCCATTTCTTCAAACACACACACACACAACCAGAAAAGTAACAATTGTTAAAAATGGTTACAGTTTTGGTTTGCCTTTAGCCACAATTTAATCCTTGTAGTGAACTTTTTCAAGTCAGATAAAGCTTGATATACTATACAATAGAAGCTTGTTCCATACTATACATATACTAGCTTGATAAAAACAAATGGCACTTAGAGGCTTTTGCATCTGAACTCTTCATATCAGTGCCCTCCACAATTATTGGCACCCCTGTTTAAGATGTGGTTGAGGACTTTTAAAAATTCTCCCTTTTTTTTAAACAACATAGAACCCAAATGCAAAAAAAAGAGAAAAATCCAACCTTTTATTCAAGTACATTACTTTGGTGGTAAAAAAAAATGTAAAAATTTAGAAAAATAAAAACTTCAAATCCTGTGTCCCACAATTATTGGCACCCCTAAAAATTCCGCTAAAAAATGTAATTGATTTTTTAAAAAAAATATATTTTCTGTAGTTGCTAATGTTGGTCAGGATATCTAGGAACTTTTAATTAGTAATTCATGACTTCCTATTTCCCTGGGGTATAAATATGACATGACACAGAGGCCTAATTCTCTTACCCATTTGTCAACATGGCAAAGACAAGAGAACACACCATTCAAGTAAGGCAGATGTGTGATGACCTTTATAAGTCAGGCAATGGCTACAAGAAAATAGCCACTCACCTTATATTGCCCATATCTAAAGTTAGAGGAATCATTAAGATGTTTAAAACAACAGGAACAGTGACAAACAAGGCTGAAAGAGGTCCCAAGTTTATCTTGCCACAACGCACTGTGAGGAGGATGCTAAGAAAAGTAAAAAAAAAGCTCACTGTCACAGAATTGCATCAAATAGTGGCATCTTGGGGTCACAAAATCTCCAAAACAACCATCAGACGCTCTCTACATGCCAACAAGATGTTTGGGAGGCATGCTAGGAAAAAGCCTTTTCTCACTAACACTGACAAACGTAAACGTCTGGAGTTTGCCAAGCGGCACTGGGACTTCATCTGGGATCGTGTGCTTTGGTCGGATGAGACTAAGATTGAGCTTTTTGGCAACAAACACTCTAAGTGGATCTGGTGTAAAACAAAAGATGTGTATGCCGAAAAGTACCTCATGCCCACCGTGAAGTATGGTGGAGGATCTGTGATGCTGTGGGCCTGTTTCTCTTCCAAAGGCCCTGGGAACCTTGTTAGGGTGCATGGCATTATGAACGCTTTGAACTACCAGGACATTTTAAATAAAAACCTGATGGCCTCTGCCAGAAAGCTGAAGATGGGTCGTCATTGGGTCTTTCAGCAGGATAATGATCCAAAACGTGTGGCAAAATCTACACAAAAATGGTTCAGTCACAAACTCAAGGTCCTCCCATGGCCATCTCAGTCCCCAGACCTCAATCCAATCGAAAACCTGTGGGGTGAGCTAAAGAGGAGAGTGCACAAGAGAGAGCCCAGGATACTGGATGATCTAGAAAGATTTTGCAAAGAAGAATGGTCAAAGATCCCTCTCTCTGTGTTCTTCAATCTTGTGAAATGTTATAGGAGGAGATTAAGTGCTGTCTTGTTGGCAAAAGGGGGTTGTACAAAGTATTAACATCAGGGGTGCCAATAATTGTGGGACACATGATTTGAAGTTTTTATTTTTTTAAATTTTTAATTTTTTTTTTACCACCAAAGTAATGTACTTAAATAAAAGGTTGGATTTTTCTCTTTTTTTGCATTTGGGTTCTATGTTGTTTAAAAAAAGGGAGAATTTTTAAAAGTCCTCAACCACATCTTAAACAGGGGTGCCAATAATTGTGGAGGGCACTGTATATATATATATATATTAGGCTGTGCAAAAATTAATTGCGATTAATCGCATCCAAATTAAAAGTCTGTGTTTACATAATATATTTGTGCTGTATATAATTGTTTTGTATATATTAATACACACATGCATGTATATATTTAAGAAAAGGTGTTATTCATATATAAAATATTTATATTTACATAATATAGATTATGTATTTATTTATATATACAGAATTTAAGCGCATAATAATTCTTAAATATATACATGCATGCATAGGTATTTATATACACAAAATAATTATATACAGCACACACAAATATATTATGTAAACACAGACTTTTATTTTGGATGCGATTAATCGCAATTAATTTTTGCACAGCCCTAATATATATATATATATATTACTTTATCTTTACCAAATAAATGCAGCCTTGCTAAGAATAAAGACTGCTTTTACACAAAAATATATCTTACAAACCCCTTGAGTAAATGTAAAAAAAAAAAATTCTGAATATAAAAAAAAAAGTTGGTTCAGAATCAGAGGTGGAGAAAACATTTCCTTCAATATTTCCTTCCATTTCCATAATTTTTGGTATGAATTTATTTTGGTGCAGTTGCTGATACAACACTTTATTTTGATATATTCTGTTGACTACGTTGCACGTACATATCTGTCATGAGAGTATAAGTAAAGTAAGTAGAGTTAGTAGAATAAGTTGACATGTACTTACAAAGTTACTTAAAGTCAGTAGAATATCTGTTGGAGGAGCATCAAAATAAAGTGTTAGCAGATTTTAAGCATATAGTCTACTAATATTCTAATGAGAGTGTATTTGTATTGCAAAGTATAGCTAGTAAAATGTCTAAAGGGGGCCATCAAAAAAAGTGTTACCAAATTTTTGTTCTTTTGAAAAACACACACCCTCATAAAACATGGGACTAACCAGGGACATTTAAAAAAGTAGCTTTGATTGCACGGTAACTAAGATTTGTCTGCATTTAGGCACTGCTCAAGCCTGCTCAAGATCTAGTGCATTTCTGAGCACCCTGCCCCACATAGTTGAAGGTTGTAAACAAAGGAACTACACATGAGCAAATGGCTGGACTGAAAGTATACAAGTATTTACTTTTCCAAGGTCATCGTGAGGCCTTGCAGGCTGCGGGGGTGCAGGTAGAGGCGCTGAGGCAACAGTCTCTTGTGGAAGGTGTTGAGGGTACTGTAGTGTTCCTCCAGAGGCAGAGCGGGACCCAACCGCTTGATGTGGATCACCTGAATCCCTCCCAGAAGGTGACTGATGCGCTCCTTCAGCCAGTCCGACTGCTGGAGCAGGCTTCTGTAACTGTGTAATCTTTCAAAGAGCTGAGCATACACATGGACAAGCCTCATAGTCAGCATTAATGTTTGTCATGATATTTTAAAGGGTTAGTTCACCCAAAAATCCTGTCATTAATGACTCACATTCCAAAACCCGAAAGACTTTCGTTCATCTTTTTGGTGAAATTTGAGCATTTTGACGCTTCAAAAAGTTCATAAAGAGATCACAAAACTAATCCATATGAATTGAGCGGTTTAGTCCAAGTTTTCGGAAGAGATATGATTACTTTATTATATGATGAACAAATTGAATTAAGGCTTTTATTCACATATAAACATTCATCAATTCACACGTCAGTTGAGGTAAACGGAAGGTCAAGCATGTTTGCTTGATGTGCAAGAACCACTGAGGTTCATTCTCATGTTATGTCTCTCTTTTGGGTTTCTGCAAGAACCAATGAGGTTCATTCTGGTGTTACGGTGTTATTTACCATTTCATTCCCAATGAGGTTCATTGAGCTTCTGTTCATGATCGCTGAGCAATGTTTAAATGTGAAACAGCTTAAAGGGGGGGTTGACTGCCATTTCACTTTTTTCATTTTAAATAGTGTGTAATGTTGCTGTTGGTTGATGAACAGTATCTGAAAAGTTGCAGCGCTGAAAGTTCAATGTAAGCAGAGATATCGTCTTTTAAAAATCAGGAAGTAAATTGCCTACAAAAACGACTCGATTGGGACTACAGCTGGGTTGTAGACGTCACTAACCCACACATTTACATCAACCCTCCCTCCGGAAAATGCAAAAAAGGGCATGCGAATATTTCTGCGGCTCGTCGAGTGTGTTGTGTTCACCCAGCTGTCAGGTCTTCTGTGTTCGAGCTTCCCACGGATGCTGTACTTCGTCAACAATGGATACAATTTATGTTTGATTATGTTCCTGAAATTGACGATCGTAATTTAGATCTCTGTGCTGCGCGTTTACGGAAGACAGCTTCCAGAATCTCCACGAGTTCAATGCCGGATTCAACAAGAAACTGTTACTAAAACATGAAGCAGTTCCAGCTTTAAAACCAGAGGCAGCAGTTGTTGGGCCACAACCTGTAAGTAGGCGAAGACTTCATCATTTTAAATGTATTTGCATGTATAATTTCAGGCGTAGCCTTGTGTTTCATTTTTTTCAAATGCCAGCGCTGGCTTTATAGCCACTAGGCTACTGGTTATGCTATTTTGTGTCTACGACAAACGCGTACAAACATTATGGACCTGAATTTTGTATAAGTACTAATGTTTTAAACGTATTTTTCATGTATATATGCTTTATGGCGTTATTTTCGATTTGATCAAGAACGTAAACTAATTCCAACGCTGTTTGTGTTTAACATTAGTAGCCAGTCAGTTGCTATTGTTGCCAGTCAGATGCTATTGTGTAAAACAAACGTGTATAAAGTTAAAAAATGTAGCAAATTCAGAAACGTTTAGTAAGAGTCGTGTGTGGTGAGGTTCTGTTTGACTCTCTTCATCGCGGCTTTCTCGGTCTGATTCTGCCTCAAACTGATACTGCAGTTCAACGCTATTTACATCTGGACCGGAGCTCATCATGACATGCACGTTTCGCCCGTAAAGGTAATGGGCGTTAACCTTCCGGACAACGTGAGCGACAGTTTAGCCGATCACCACACACCGGGCCAAACTAACCAATCTGAGCCCACTGCCTGTTTCTGAGGGAGTGTTTTCATAGAATCAGGAAGTCAACCGCTCGTTCAGGGGACAGAGGAGAGCGCGGCTGACAATAAAGGTGAAGTTTATGAAAAATAAGACTTTTTAAAAAAGATATATTTAATTTAAGATATATTGCACCCCATAAACAGAATCATGCAAAGAAAAAAAGCAGTCAAACCCCCCTTTAAATTCAGTCTATTCATCATAAAAACTGATTGAGTCTCTTCAGAATATTTGGACTAAACCGCTCAATTATAGTTTAGTTTTACAATCTCTTTATGAACTTTTTGAAGCGTCAGAGTGGTAGCTGTCAACGGAGGGACAGAAAGCTCTCAGATTTCATCAAAAAGATCATTCATTTGTGTTCCGAAGATAAACAAAAGTTTTACAGGTTTGGAACGGCATGATAGAGTGATTAATGACATTATTTTCATTATGGGTAGAACTATCCCTTTTAAAAGTAAATCTTACCTTGAAACTGGTTTAATAAAAAAGATGTACCTTTGACCATTGATGGTGGACATCCATTGTTCCTAACATCACATGCCCTGAGGCATTCATCCCTGATTGGTCAGTAAAAACTATTATGTGTCCTATGTTTTGGGAAAGAAAGGAAATTAAGTAAATACTTGTCCCCCTGAATAAATACATCTGATCTAATTTCGTGAATTCTATTTCCATGGTTACCTCTCAGGTGGTGCAGGGCCTCAGGGTTTTGTGTGGAGAGACGAATCAGACTCTGCAGCTGACAGCATTTGTGTGAAACTCCCCATTTGCGCTGCCACCTACAGGACAGAGAATCACTTGATGATTAAACATGGAGAACATATTGACAGCAGGATGTAAGAACACAACACAAGATACTGTGTCCAACAGGTCAATGATTTTTAGTTTTACACATACCTGCATTAGCAGATATACACTACTGTTTAAAAGTATATGGTTGTTTTTTTTTTATCTTTTTAAGCTGCATTTAATTATCAATTTGAAAATATCTGTTTTTATTATATTTTAAAATGCCATTTCTCCAGTCTTCGGTGTCACTGAATCTTTCAGAAATCATTATAATATGCTTATTTTGTGCTCAAGATTTTTTTTTTTTATTATCATAAAAGTTAAAACAGTTGCACTGCTCAATATTTTTGTGTAAACCTGACCATAATACATTTTCTTTCAGGATTCTTTGATGAATGGAAAGTTTTAAAGAACAGCATTCATTTGAAATAGAAATCCGCTATAACATTTGATTTTACCATCACTTTTGATCAACTGAATGCATCCTTGCACAATAAAAAGATTAAAGAACACAAATGTTTGATGTTAGTGTATAATTGAGAGCTTTTCCATTTCATGATAAATAATTATACGGGTGCAGTTGCTTGATTTTGATTGCACGGAAGAGGATTAGGGCCAAGCAATAATAAAAAAATAAAACCATCTCGAGATCAAAGTCATTATAATGTGAAATTAAACTAATTGCATTTCAAGAATAAAGTCGTTTTGTGTTTTGAGAAACTGCCTCCATGGTTACTTCGTAAAAACCTTTGCATTGCTGCCACACTGCCATTTTTGGTCCCCATGTCCGTGTGGCTCCTCTCAGGACACCCTCCTAACTGTTATGAAGTAATTGGCTATTACTTTAGGATCGTTATTGAATGTGTACACCTCCGTCCACAGAATCTATCGCCTGTAACCATCTATACAGCCATTAATCGCAATGGCGTACGGTTTTAATTCATGTGTCCATCTGCCACAGTACATTTGGGCCAGCGCTGTTCGTTGTTCATGCAGCAGTTGTTCAACTGACGGCTCAAACGTCTTTTATCAGTAAAGTTCTGCACGGGCAAATTCAGTGACACTTTCAATGCGATACATTACTAGTATTTCTTTGTTACTGAAAGAAAGTCTAAAATATAGCTTGACTAAGTGATCCAACCCTGCCATGTCCTCTATTAGTAGGCTGCAATGAACACTGAACGAATGCGTTATTCTCTACATTTCATTTCCACTTTTATTCTCGAAACACAATGACTTTATTCTCGAAATTTAAAGAGTTTATTCTCAAGATTGTATTTTGAGTTTTATTTCTCAAAATTTAACACGTTTTTTTTTCTCAAAACACAACGACTTTATTCTCGATATGTAACGAGTTTATTCTCAAGACTGCATTTTGACTTTTTTTCTCTCTAAATTTAATGAGTTTCATTTCGAATTATAATGACTTTAATCTCAAGATAGTTTTATTATATATATTTTTTTTTTATTTCTTGGCCCTAATCTTCTTCCGTATGATTGACATATGATTTTAAAGAAAACAAAAACCAAGATGGCTTTAATTTTAGTGAGTGTGTGTGTCTTTTTACATTACCCTATTTTTTTAATTTCTTTCCAAAATACATTTTTTAAATCTTTTCCATAATAGATTATTTTTAGATTTTACTTCATACTCTTTTTAGTTTTTAATCCTGTAAATTCAAAGTTAATTGACTACTTGGTAGCCAACTCCAAAAAGAAAAAAAAAATCTTTACAAAAACATAAGCAAGCCACAGAGACATTATAACTAAAATGTCACTTAAAGTTCGACTAATTCTTGTACTCTTTCCGGGACATGTGACAAATATTTTAACATTGATTAAACCGTTTTAAGGAGTTTAAGTTAAAGGGATACTCCACTTTTTTTGGAAAAATTATATATTATATACAGTATATATAAATATTAATATTAAATATTTAATATATATAAATATTAATATTAAATATTTTACAATTCCCCCAGAGTTAAACTGTTGAGTTTTACCTTTTTTGAATCCATTCAGCTGATCTCCGGTTCTGGCGGTACCACTTTTTGCATAGCTTAGCAAAAATAATCAGGAAACTTTACTGTCGTACCATGAGTGCAGCAGGCGTAATGTTATGACGCAGCGCCTGAAAATAGTGCCCAGCTTCCAATGTGACCGGGACTAAGTTTGTGTAGTCATCGCGCCTGCTGCACTCATGGTGAAGTTTCTTGATTATTACGCAGGAATGAGAGTATAGTTCCCTGCAAATCAGCCTAGAAAATTGCAACTTTACATTTTCCGTCGGTCTTAGTGCACGATGTAACTACAGAAGAGTCAAGTTTTAAATGGGAAAAATATCGAAACACTTTGGTCATTTTTTTGGGAGAAATGCTAATGGTCTTGTGCACTTAAATGATGTATGCTAAGCTATGCTAAAAGTGGTACCGCCAGAACCGGAGATCAGCTGAATGGATTCAAAAAAGGTAAAACTCAACAGTTTAACTCTGGGGAGTTGTAAAATGAGCCTATTTAAAAAAAAAAGTGGAGTATCCCTTTAACTGAAGAATTACCAATTAGAGAGCTGCTAGTCTAGAGCGTTAACATTAAACTAAAATATACTTGGCGATTAAAAATTACCAAGCACACCAAGAGCACCTTAGTCTGAGATAAGCTAACCTGATATCCAACAAACCAAGTTTCTGAATCAGCACTCTTTTCAATCTTTTCAGCTCCTCACGGTGTGGAAGACTGGCATTCTGTTTCTTTGTGGCCTCCGGCTCATTGTTTCTCAGCCAGAAACTGAAGATAAAGAAAGAAAGTGAAACAACGTTTTAGTATGAGTTCAATAAAACATTATGCAGTATCCCAAATTCATTACATAAAATTGACAATGAACTTTGTCTAACATAACATATCTTTGTTCATAATTATATTAATACTCAGGTTTCCAAAACCCTTTAGCCAATTCCATTATCACAGCACCATGCAACACTAGAGCAAACAATAATCAAGTTCAGGTTTAACCCTGAAATAATAACATGTTTTGAAATGGAACAGTTTATTGAATCTTATCTTATCTGTTTTTTGTTGAGTATCATATTTGATACATCAGGCTTTTATGGCTTATATAGTCTGATATAGTGAGAATATGGAGCATACACTTGAGGGAAAGAATTTGAACACATCAGTTTTATTCAGAGGCCCAAACTGAGCAAACAATATGGTGCAGTTGCTGATATTTACATGGCCACAAAGCCAGATGAAATTCTGATAGCTTACAGTATGTAAATCGATGAGAGCTTCATAACAGCATAGCAGACTACTTATACATAACGCCAAAATGTATGTTGTTATTTAAATGCTTAGTTTTATGATTGAAGCTCAGTAGTTTTTACTGTGGGAGACAAGACCACCGCTGGACGGCGTGATTGACCAATCAGAATCAAGTATTAAAATTTAATATTTGAGTATATTTAAAATTGAACATTAAATGGGCCCATAATACCCTCTCACAAAGTCTTGATGTTGCTTTTGGGGTGAACACTGAACTAGAATATATTTTCATGCTTTATTGTTCAAAAAACAAATTATTTCTCACATTTTTTACATTATTACAGCACCTCCCTCCCCAGTCTGGCTTGAACATGCCAATTTTGATGAAGCCCCTCCTTCCAAAATACGAAATGTGCTGTGATTGGTAACCTGGCCTAGTGTGTTAAGATTGGCACCACTTCAGGAAATATCCCGCCCCTCCATAACTGCATGTTCCTCTCTAGTGTAAACACGAATAAGGATAACGTCAATTTCAAACCAATTCGAGCCTGATTCAGACCCTGACAATGTTAATGAACAAGAGGATCGTGTAGAATGGATATCAAGCATGGATTTTAAAAAAAATATCTCCCTTTGGAGTGGACTTTGAGCTTTGCAGCCTAGCAGATCTTTTTTAAGCTTAAACAGCAACATTACACACTAACTAAGTTAAAAAAAGTGGAAAGGCATAATAAGACCCCTTTAACAGAAGCTGGAGGAACAGTTAGGTGCTCTGACACATTAAATGAACAGTTTATTCAAAAATGGTCATGTGGTAGTGCTAAGAGTGAATAAGCATCCTAAACTGATTTTAAAAAGAAAGATTAATGTGAATTGGCACGAAGGAAAGGTCTCTCTCTCTCTCTATACCTCAGTGTGGGCTCCACTCTCTTGGCTTGCTCTAACTCCTGCTCTGGGTCCCTGAAGCCAGTGAAAGTGTAATAAGTCTTGTCCCATTTGATGGGCCGATAGAAAGCTGTTTCAGGCTGTTGTGTTGAGCTCTTCCTGGTCTCAGCCTTGAGCACATCCTGCATGTGTTCAACCGAGAGGCTACAGGACCTCAGGACATCCAGCACTGTGCTCAGAACATCCGTAGACTGCAGGGTGAAACTCACCGACCGGAATCCTGGGAAGTGTAGGGTTCTTCAGTTAAAATCATGCATTGGAAACAGAACATTACCATTAAAACATTTGGGGTCGGTATGATTTTTTTAAATGTTTTTGAAAAAAGTCTCATTGCTTGCCAAGGCAGCATTTATTTGAATAAAAATACATTTAAAAAAAGAGTTATGTTGTGAAATATAGCTACAATATATTTAAAATGTAATTTATTCCTGTGATGGCAAAGCTGAATTGTCAGCAGCCATTAGGCTGAGTGTCCACCAAAATTATTCTTTCCCAAGGCCAGAGTATTTTTTGTTTCATATTTAAAAAACGCCATTTGACAAGGCGCTGAGCTATCGAAGCTTGCTTCTGCGACTTTTAGGGTGTGTTCACACTTGTAGTTTGGTTTGCCTGGTTTGTTTGGTCTGGACCAAAAAAAAAAAAATCAAAACATTTAGTCCTGGTCTGCTTAGCGTTCACATTGGCATTTTAACACCGAACCTTTAATGAACAGGGAATGTTTACAACCTGATTGGTCTGCTTTTATTGCACATATTTCATGACCGAACTTACTGAACATCCAAAATAATGCTGTGTGCTGGGATAAATGCGCTTATTGTATGTGCGTAACCTGTGCGTAATGGTATTTTGACCAGCTGCATGTCCTGTTTTTGGTTTGTTTACATGTCTTTGATCCATGTTGCGTTCATATTTCACTCAAACCGCATAAGAGTTAAATTGTAACCTTTTGATGGGTCTTGGTCCGCTTGTTTGGTGTGGACAGGGCTCTGATGGCAGCGTTCACACTTATTCAAATAAACCGCACTAACAGAGCAATCACACCAGGGTTCGTTTTAATCAAACCAAAATGCCAAGTGTGTACGCACCCTTAATCTCTCAATTCATACTTTTTGTCTTGCAATTGCGAATTGACATTTAGCAATTCAGATTTATTTTCTCAGAATTGTGAGTTTATATTTCTTACTTCAGAATTTTGTTTCTCAGAAGTGGATCTCGGAATTTGGAGAAAAAAAAATCAGAATTGCGGGTTATAAACTTGTAATCCTGACTTTTTTCTTCCATTTGTAAGTTTATTTATCAAAATTGTGAGGAAAAAAAATCAGAATTACAAGATGTTAACTAAAAACTGTGAGGAAAAATTGTCGGAATTGAACGATAAAAAGTCGTATTTACACATACATTTTAATTCCGTGGTGGAAACAAGTTTCAAATACTGAGCTTCTATTTTACGCTGAATGCTAGGCGTTTTTTTCCGAACGCTGAGAGTTCAAAAACGTTATACCCAGACATCCAATCACAGTAGAGCCCGACCGATAAAGGATTGTGAAGGCCGATACCGGTACAAATATTTTTGGGTTTTAAAATCCGATATATCGGCCGATATTTTTTTATCTTTTTTTTTTATTTCAGAAACGCACAACAAAACATTAACGGATTTCCCTAACATTACTTATTTGCAGTTATTTATGAGTTTTAACTAAAATAATAAACTATGATAATGCATTTTAAAAAACAGAACACAACAGAACAGAACAGACTGATGATAGTGGCATTAGCTAGCTTTATGGTTAGCTAGTCTATGATGAGCCATAATTTAGCAATGGATAACGTCATACTGCACATTGTAAAACATACATTTTCAATATAACAGGCCAAGGAGAGATGATACGTCTCATTGCTATAACTGTCACACGCTATTAAAGAAATACTTCAGTGACATTGTAAAAAGTTAAAAGGACAGTCAGTCAACTACACTGTAACAACGTAACGTAACTACTAGCTAATTCCGCTTCACTCTCGACTTATTTAACAGCAGCAAAACTGGACATGATAGTCACAAATTTTGTCATGCTTATTTAAGTTAAGAGAACTGATGAGGATGTTCTTTTAATTGTTATTCAAGCAATATATGTCTCGTGACCAACTCAACGAGTGTTGCCAACAGGTACTGTGGACAAACTATACAACCCCAACACTCATGACATGGTTCAAGCGTGTTTCGTCCGTTTTTATTTTATTTTTTGAAATATTCATTTATCGGCCATTATAACTGCCGATACCGATAGTTTGGAAAATGCCTAATATCGGCCGATAATATCGGCCTGCCGATATATCGGTCTGGCTCTAATTCAGAGTGAACGAGAGGCGGGACAAATACCACAACGACCAACCACCACATCCTGCTTGAACAACGGCAACAGACAACAACAACAACAACAAACACAACAAAAGGGGCCAGAACAAGTACTTCACATTGTGTGGATATATTATAAATATCATTTACTATCTGCGAATTCAGAAGCTAGTAACATTTTCACCGATCACAGCAACCAAACCACTGTCCCACTGAGCCCACAGCTAGGCATTTTCAGATGAGCATCTGACATTTTCAGCTGGCTAAAAACACTTTGGTGGACACACCGCCTTACTCCAGTCTTTAGTGGCATTCTAATGTCACTTATATGTATATTCTAAACGAACTTTGCTTATTCAATGTTGAAAACTGGTCTGCTTTTTTTAGTGGAAACTTTTTTTTTTCCTAAAAAAAAAAAAAAATGTTGTAACAATCTATCACATTTTATCAATTCACTGTATCCTTGCTGAAAAAAAAACATTAACATTTAGAAAAAAAGAGACACCAAACGTTTGAATGTTAACTTTACTGTCAAAACTGTTAAAATAGGGAATTAAAGACTATAGGTCCTAGGTCTTCCAAGGAAAGCAAACAATTACAATCTGTTCCTCAGTTATCACATGGCTTCAGGAGGCTAGTTTTATTTAGTTATTTATTTATTGGAGTTTAGCTGTAAACATGACTACGAATCAGAGGTGAACTGGTGTTACCTGAGGCTATCAGTCTACTGCTGGTGTCTGCTGTTTCTTTTGTGTCCCTGACATAAAAAGTGAGGTTTGTGGGTTTGGGGGATCTCGCTCCAGGCTTTTGAAGATTTTCCAGATAACCATTTAGCTTTTGGAGGGAGTTTTCATTCACTTCCTGTAACACAGAAAACAAAAAAACTCCTTACAACTGCTCTGCATAGAAATGTGGAAAATTGAAAAAAAAATAAAATAAATAATAATAATAAAAAAATAAATAAAAAACACTTATGGTAACAATAAGGTTTCATTAGTTTACACAAACTAAGAATGAACAATAGTTCTACAGCATTTATTAATCTTAGTTAATGCTTATTTAATTTACTAATAGTTATTCAAATAAAAAGTTGTATTAGTTAACATTAGTTTATGCGGATTGTGAACCAACATGAACAGCTGTATTTTTATGAACTAACTTTCAAACAAAGATTAATAAATACTGTAAATGTATTGCTCAAATGAAACCTTATTGTAAAGTGCTACCATATATATAACAAGCATTATTATCATGCATTTTAAATTAAAATGTTTGTGTATATAATAATATATCATTATTTAAATATCATTACTCTCTCTCTTGGATGCTGGCCAAAGAAATCAGGATGTACAGCGAAGTAAAAGGGCCGCAGGGCATTAATGGCATCCGCTCCTGAGAGACTCCTCCTCTGAATGACACGAGCAGAAACGCATCTACCACCAAGCCTGTAAGAATGAGAATGATGTTGGTTGGATGCATGAGGACAGGGATAATAAAACATTGTAAATTGTATTTGCAGCTGTCTATAAGAATTATAACATGACAGTGCATACGTTTATTTGAATAAAACGTACCTAATATAACGCAGGAAGGTGGTCACATACATCACGTTACTCACTTCTGGCAAGAGAAATCAAGGTACATGAGAAAGGAAAAGCATGACAGACTTTAGCCTCTTCAACAGGTCAAAATCACAGGAGAAACATTATACTGCATGTCTGCAGAATCAATTAATCATTCCCCATGAGAAACAAGTAAAAGGTTTAAAAATTAAAAGTTTGTGAACCCCTTGCAGAATCTATGCAAATGTGAATCATTTTAACAAAATAAGAGGGATCATACAAAATGCATGCTATTTAAGATAAGATAAAATATTTTACATAAACGATGTTCACAAGACAAAAAATAACCGAATTTATATGAATGAAACTGTTCAAAAGTTTACATACCCTTGATTCTTAATACTGTGTGTCGTTACCTGACGATCCACGATTTTTTGTTTTGTGATGGCTGTTCTTGTGATTCGGTTTTCCAGCATCTTTTGGATATTTGAACCCTTTCCAGCAGTGAATGTGTGATTTTGAGATCCTCTTTGCAAACTGAGGACAATTGAGGGACTCAAACTTAACAATAAAAAAAGGTTCAAACCTTCACTGATGCTCCAGAAGGAAACATGATGCATTAAGGTGGTTGAATAAGGTGGCAGGGGTTGAATACTTTTGAACAGGATTAATCATTTTTTTGTTTAATTATCTTCTTCTTTTTATTTCCATTTAGTACGGCAACTTCGGAAGCAACTAAAGATACTTACATGTTTCCCAGAAAAGAAATCAAGTACAATTACCTTAATTGGTAAAAAAAAAGTTTTCACCCCCTGTGCATCGTGTTTACATTTGGAGCATCATTTTTTATTAATAGTTGTGTTTCAGTCCCTCAATTGTCCTCAGTTAAAAAATGTGGATTTCAAAAGCATACAGTCACTGCTAGAAAGGGTTCAAATATGCAAAAGATGCTACGCAAGAATTTATTTTATTCATACTAAAAACCCAAACTCTATGGGGCCAAAAATAGTATTTGATGTATGCATGGATTAAATTATTATTTTATTTAGATTTCCTTATTCTGAAAACCAGGTACACCATAATCACAATGACAGTGTAACTAATAGTTTCATGCATTATAGGATATGGATAAACAAAAATAAAGGCTTGACTGAACTTAGCAGAGACGTTTAACTCAGGTCAATTGCAGACATGTGTGTTCTTGACCTACATACTGTGGGTAGTGTAAACACAGTCCTCTTATTTTTACATAAAAACAAACAACACGACGAAAAATGGTTCCACCCTAAAACAACATACAACTCACACTTTAGAGACATTCGATTATTCAGCATTCAATACACTCAAGTCAACACATAAACACTGATCAACACTGTAAACAAAGGCAGACACAAACTCTGTGCGCTTAAAATACACACACCTGACCAAGGCTTAATCAGCCACTTACACAATTCATGACAGCATGAGATAAAAACGTCCAAAACACCATCAAATTACCTGTGATTATGCAATCTTACATGCTCGCTGTTGTTAAAACTCAGCTTGAACTCTTGTGCTCCGTTGAGGCCAATCATCCCGACAGGAGTAATCAACTGCCTATCTTTGGGAAAACAAGTGGAGCTTGCGAGAGCTGCTCACATGAACCAGGCAGAACTAATCGCCAGTTCATCTTTTCCTGTGAATCTGAGACAGTCCTGGTGCCATCTATAGGTTATTTTGCGACATTTCTTTCTTACAAAATCAAAAACATTTAACATCAAGTCAATTGAACAACACATTACAAATGCTGTTTTTTATGATGATGTTGCATTGACTGCATACTACTCACTTATGGGATTAATATAATTTGTTTTTTCTGTTGTTGTATTATTTGATTTGAACCCTCTAAAAAAACACTGGATTGAAAACAACCCAAGATGTTTTCAGCCCAAGGGCTGAGTAAATATGGGACAGAACACATGTTGGGTTAATTTTACATAGCAAATTGGGTTGTTTATTTAAAGTCCCCGTGAAATCAAAATTGAACCCATTTACTTTGTTAGCGCATATTACTAGTCTTGTGGTGAACAATTAATCCGTGCAAGTAAATATATATTAAAAAAATGTTTTACCTTGGTAATCTTTAATCAAAATCTGAAAAGTTACTTCCGGTCTGGAACGGTTGATGACGTAGGTTTCACAGTTTGGGTGGGGAAACGCTTAACCACTCCCCTCAAACCGTTAGTTTGCTATGAGCGAGAGATGGAGAGGAGGAGCTCTAGAGTAAAACCCTGCCCTCTGTTCAATATTCCGTTTCACTTGGAAATACGTCACAGCACGGGAGAAAAATCGTTTGCAACTTCCGGTTCACGGGGACTTTAACCCAGCACAATGGGTGGATTTAATCCATCATACTGGGCTGATTCATTTTTACTAACGTACTATTTGTTTATCTTTTTCTTTTCTTTTTTATGACATACATGGATTAATGTTTATAAATTAGCTTAAATCCTCAAAACTTAACAACAAAAAAAAAAGAAATCTCCACACAACTAGCCTACTGGTTTGCCAGATAATTCCTTTGTTAATCATATTTTACAGTTTACCATATTTTAAACAGTTTTGAATACATATGCATACATTTAAGCTTGTTTAACAATTATAAGTAAAAATTAAGCATTATGAAGTAATTCAAGTGTAATCGACCACTAGCTATCTGTTGTCCGGTGCTGGATCTCGTGCCGGCACTTGTATCATGTTTAGCGAGGGAGCTTCTAAGACCGCCGCCATGCATTTCACTAGTGGAAGAAATGCTGTGACTGACTCCATTTATATTCTGCATTTATATTCCACATTTATATTCCATCAATAACTTAACCCCTGGGTTGTTATAGCCTACCTAACCCATGATTTGGGTGACATAAAAACTACCAAAACACTGGGTTGTTACGTCTGACCCAGGGTGGAAACCCGTTGCCTATATAGCCTATTAGCACTTTAGTTTTTACCCAAGCTGAAACTAAACATGTTAAGTTGTAGTAACATATAATCTTAAGTGGGTGCAGTTTACAAAGTTGACATACAGTAGTCTTTACTGAAAATAATTAGTTCTCAATAATTAGTTGTTTTGAGTATAGGTGTACTATTTGCAACATACTGTAAAGCTTTTCATTTTTCACTTTTCATGGCCTTTAATCTTTATTTTTTACAACATCAAAGTGCAGTCATCATCACTGGAACACTTTTTTCTTGGCTTTTTTGCTTCAACAATTGTGCCTTTTCATCACACAAGCAAAACAGCCAGAGAAAATATAATTCAAATGTCGAGGGCAAGAGCCCAACTACAGCCAACAATTATCACCATTATGGTGACTATTTTTAAATTAGATTAAACAATAATTCAACAACATCTAAACCTCTGTTATTTCTCAATACCATCTGCTGCCGAGGCTCGTCCCGCCAGTTGAGCCCCTCGGAAGCACGTTAGATGCGGGTCTTTTCACGTGACCAGGCAGGTTGTTGAATACCAGTGTTTTCTGCCTTTTGATTGTGTGGCATTTGAACCCCTCCCCTTCCTTATGAAAGTAAACATACCAAGTAGTCTCTGCTAAACCTGATTAGTGCAATGACTCTTTCAGCTCAATAGTACAAACAACTAATGTAGTTTAGTAATGATAGCAGGTTTTTACTAAACATAAAATAAGAAGTAATGATCACTTGTAAGTTTAATTAGAAACAAAATCTGGGTTTACAGTACACCTTCTGAACATTTGTACTGTTCTATACTTTCATAAATATATTCCAAATATACAGCAATATTGGCAACACACACACACACACACACACATACTTACATATATACACTAATAACCCATAGATGGCGCAGATACAATGAGAAAAGTAGTCAGCGGTCACATTGGACTTGCCAGGAACATGGTTGACTGTAAACTGGAAAGCCAGAGACCACAGTGTGATCCTCCTATTGGTATCTTTCATCTTTTCCAACGACTGGAGATCTTCATGGTCAATTTCTAATTTGAACTCCCTTCACAGTAGGTAATATCTCAAGTAGTCTAGGGCCTATGCCAAAGTCTCCTGCCAAACACTCTTTCTCTAGTGTAGAAAAGTGAAAGCATGTTTGGGGCTAATGAAAGCCACAGGCCATCATACATAAGCCTCTGAAAGGTGGCTGGTGCCCCATGCAAGCCAAAGGGTAAAACTCAGAAAACGGAATAGCCCTCACGGTGTCCTGAATGCTCATCAGAATCAATGGTCATCAGGTATTTGGCTTTGCCCTGTCAATTAAGGGATCTATACGGGGTGTAGGATATGAATCAAACTGTGAAACAGAGTTCAAGTACCGGAAGTCAATACAAAATCAGATACTCCCATCCTTTTTCTGTACTGGGATCACCAGATGACACCACTCGCTTTTAGAGGGTTCAATAATTCCAAATCTCAGCATAAAGTTCACTTCCTGCTTCAAGGCCTCTTGGAGTCTCTCGGATATTCTGAAACTCAAAATTCAAGTCAAATCAAGTCACATTTATTTATATAGTCTTTTTACAATACAGATTGTTTCAAAGCAGCTTTAAAGAGATAACAGGAAAATAATGCAAAAAAAGTTTGTTATCAGAAGAAAATAGCGTCACAGTCCAGCTTAAGTAAGCTCTGTTTTAAAAACATTATTAATTTAGTTAATTTATATATAGCCACTCTGGAGTAAACCGTGATGTCATTGTCCAGCTCAGTTCAGTTCTTGTATAATAAGCCCCTTTCACACAGAGATTCCAGAAAATACACGGATAATGTGACCAGGATTTTTGTCCCGGGATTGTTTGATTTCGGTTCATTCACACTGCCAGTGATTTGCTGGTATCTGTGATTGCGTTCACACACAACCCGTAAAAATCGTATAACGTACGCGTCGAAAACATGTACACGCGCATACCATTCCACATTGCTGGTGAACGATCTCAGCTTCAGTGCGGTAGTGAGGAGCTCCGCTCCAGTTTGCAGGTTTTTGTTCATCCTTTCTTTGTTGATGACGAACACAAACTTTCTTCTAAGAGCAACAGAGTCGCGCGATGGCACGAGCGTCATCACTAAAACACCCCCTATACGCCATTGGTCCTGGCTTTTGTTCACACAGCGCGCGTTCCGGGACTGATTCCGGCAATGTTACTAGGTCCCCAACCCGGCATCAGTCCCGGTATCAATCCCGGGTCGTGTTTGCCTTCACAAAGAAGGCATTCTGGCAATTTCCCGGGATCAATGCGCTGTGTGAAAGCGGCTATAGTGTCAATGCTGGCAGATCAATATTATTGTTGAATATTAAATTAAATGTTAAATGTATTGTCCCCTAAGCAAGCCAAGCTAATGGCGACAAAGGTGACAGTGACATGGAACCAAAACTCCTTCAGGTGGCAGAATGGAGAAAAATAAACCTTGGGAGAACCCAGGCTTAGTTGGGGGCCAGTTCTCCTTTGGCTATGATATCATATCATGAGTATATTTAGAGAAGATTTCAGGGGTACATAGAGCTCTCACCTGGGATTGCTGATCTTCAGGCTACTGGTTGAGGCAAGTACTGGTCCTCCCGTTGCTCTTTCTCTTTCACCTGGCAAATCATCATAACTTTTGCTCTCATGTTCCGGTCAAGAGACCCACTTATTCAAATGGTTTACATTAAGTACTCGACCAGCACGATCTTGCCCTGGAGTGACCACTTCACACGTGGTGGGGCCAAGCTGGTTCTTGACCTCAAAGGAGCCCTGCCACTTGCTTACCATCCTCCAGCAGCTCAGTGAGAATTTGGGCAGGCAACCCGACTCTGGAAAAGAAGTGGACTAAACAAGTTGTGACATATTTGGCTTTGATAGACTTTAAAGGAAATACCTCTGGTTACCTCATAGCATAATCAGTGATCACCAGTAGAAACCGGTTACCTGCATGGCTCTTTTTCACCAGTCCAACAATATCTATGCCTTTCGAAAGGTGTACTGGTTACAGGAAGGGGATGGAGGGGCACTCTTAATGAACACTTGATAAATACTTTGACAGCAAGGGCAGCTTTACAGTACTGGGCAACATCCGCTTCCAGGCCGGGCCAGTAAGTGTATTTTGGTTTTCTTTTTTCTTCAGCCCAGGGAACTGAATGACTCGGGTGAAGTTAGATTGCATACACTCTCTACGATCAATTGGGAGGCATTATATTCAAGCTTTTGGCTTGTCTCTTTTGGCTTGGTGATTTTTATTTATTTTGGGGAGCATATCTCTGTTTGCATCATAAAATGGCAGTTGAAATAATCTGTTAGTTTCCCTGGCTGCTTTGCCATAGCTCCTGATACTACCACATTGCACTAGTGCGGGGGCTGGGCTAAATCTAGGAGTACAGAATACAGCAGAATACAGAAGATTATCTGCTACCCCAATAGGTCTGCAGCAGTGGTGGAGGAAGTACTGAATCTGAGTACTTAAGTAAAAGTACAAATAACCAGATAAATATTTACTTTAGTAAAAGTAGAAGTAACACAATGACAACCATACTTAAGTAAAAAGTAAAAAGTACCTCATTTTAAATGTACTTTAAGTATTAAAAGTAAAAGTACTTGCATAACAATTTATTATCTTAATGTCCATTTTCTAATGATTAATAAAACATTTAATTCTATAACTCATTCAACTTAA